TATATTATATATATATATATATATATGCGTGTGAAATAAAGGTACTTTTTATATATTAATGAGTAAACGTACCATCAGAGAATGACAGCACCGGATGATAACTAGAATCAACAAGTGTTACACGTTCCTGTACAGAAAGTTGTTCAATTGGTTCTTGTGGCTGCATTGGATCCAGCCTTCCTGTACATAAAGCACATGCAGGCAATACATGATCACAATTGCATCTCACTGTTGACGCTTTAGCTGCACGCTTTGAAACTTCGTGTAGCCTGTCCACGGTCAAAAGCTTTCGCTTTCTATAATAATTCCATACAAATGGACGCGTTCTACTGGCTGGTAATTCACCCTCGGGTGAATTGTATCGCCCGGTAGAACCTGGTAGTGCGCCACTGTATCCATTAACGGTTTCCGCATTTTCGAGAACGACTAGGCCCTTTGCGGCCCTGATCTGCCGTTGCCATTCGTTATGCTGTCTAATTCTGTACTCTAAATCTGATATTTGTGCCTGCAGCCAGGTCCACTGTGATGCTACACCTGCACGATCCTGTGCATATCTCCAAGCTGCTCTTTTGGATCTGTGCAAATAATGTAACAATACGATTGGCCTACTAATTCGCAAGTAAAGGTCATACGTCGTACCTAGTTCATAAGTCTAGTCTGTTACTGTAGAAACTATAGAAAATACGGAGACCTTAAGAAAAAGATGCAGATTCAACAAATTAAATACGAAATTACTGTATTATTTTACAGAATTACTCAATACAAATTTCATACATTAAATATCGTATTATTATTGTTTATCAGACAAAAATATAGCGTTAAACCAAATCTGAATACCAAAAAAAATGTCACATTATTGTGAACATATTTTCAAAATAGTGTTTTGTAAATAAACAAGCAATAAAAGAAATAGAACCGAGCCATAAACCATATTCGGTCTCTTTCTTTCGACTGCGATAATATATGTTGCTTACAAACACAAAAGTTATACAAACACAAAAATTTCAAAACTTTAATATAAAGTTTAAAAAAACAATCGTTTGTTTTTATATTGAGGCATTATTAATTCTTGCGTTACAAGCGATAAAAAATTGAAGATTTAAAAAATTTAAAGATAAATTTGAATCTGTTTACGGTAAAACTTAATATTGAAAATGGTATTAAATTGTTAATACCATTGTATTAAATTTTTTCTAAAGAAAAATAAAAATTAATTTACCTTGTAGCTTTTAAAATATGCCAAACATTGATACATTAACGTAATTTATGACATTCATAAATAATAGTAATTAAATTAATATTAAGGATATTATACAAATTATCTATTTCAAATAATGACGTTAAAACAATCATACAAAATTCAATTAGCTTGACATGATTACAACACAACAAATACATAAAAAAAAAATGTTTATACAATTTTGGAAAATATTTGAAATTATTTACTTTTTATTGTTTAAATAAAATGTTTACTTTAAATATGTTTTTCGTAATAAATAGTTTTATTTAAAATAAATTTTTTAAATAAATATAAATCGAAAAATTGCATAAAATAATAAAGACAAAGAATATGAATATATATATATATACATGCTTAATACTAATAAATAATTTCTTGTTAAATACAAAACACTTACATGGGCAGATTCTGCTGATGTATGTTGTTAAATGTCTGCAGCTCGTCGCAACTTTCTCCACCACTGCTCGATGCTGTACAGTCCGAATCCAAGTTGGATTCTACAACGTGCAATTGTGTAGACAAAGCTCCAGCCACACTTTCCACTTCTTCACCGTTTAGTTTAACCTGCGGGGTACCGAACACCGGCTGGCGATTGCCATTATTCCCGGACGAAGTACCATTCGCATTATCACGCGATCCTCCACCGAAGTAACGACAACACACTCTTTGACGATTCACACTGTTACTCTGGGCAACACACATTTTTTCAATTTTCTGTAGAAACGAATCTAAACTGCCGCTAATCTCAGGAAAGTTTCTCACATTAGATTTCGAACCCGTATTGACCAATTCCTGCAAAAAATACTTCTTTACTCCGCGATGAGCCAACTCGAGAACACCAGTATTCTCCTCCGCCACGTGTTTGCCCATTAGTCTAGCTTGGAGCTTCCTCAGTCTTCTCAATAAAAATGCGCATTTCCTCTCGCTCTCGAACTGCTTCTGCGCCACAATGTCCTGTTGTAATCTCAAGCTGTTCGACTTCTGTTGGTCCACCGTGTCCACCGAGATATTCATATTCTCATTACAAAGACTCATTACGTCCATGTCGTTAAGTAAATCCCGTTCGAAGGACGCGAATCCTTCCTCGGGCATGGCGAACATTTCCACGCCATCGACAGTGCCTTGCACCGGCTCGCCGCCGCCTGTGGAAATGTTCTCGGCGCTCTCCTCGCCTTCGATCGATTTAATAACCTGCAAGATCTCTTCCACATTGTGCCCGATATCGGCGACATTCGCCATGTTGCATTGCTCAGCGGTGATGTCGGTGCCGAAGGCCATGATCTGATCGACATCTAGATTCTTATTGTCTCCCGCTTCAGTCTCAGTAGCCACCAGCGATAAGTCCGCGCTCGATTTCAAGAAACCCATGTTGTTCGTTTGATCACCCATAGATGGGTCGTTCATTATAAAGTCGATCACCTTCCCTTCGGCGTGATCGGCGTCCGGCAGCGTAACCGGCTGCTCAAAGTCCACCTTCGCCGCTGCCGTCGCCTGCTGTTGCAAGTCCGCTACACCGTTCTTCGATCCGATCAAATCGGACGCACTCGCGAACGCGGACAGCGAGTCGAGGTCGTTGGCGTACTTGGAGTTAATGACATCGCGTATCAGGTCCTTCGAGATACCGCGCAAGCACTGCTCGTCGATCTTCGACGGTTGCACGTTTGCTGGCACCACGAACTTAGTCAGGATCTCACGATTCTGGCACACTTGCGTGGCCTGTTCGGCGGACAGAAAGCCACTGGCGGCTGGTAGGGTAGGGAGCAAGTTTTCAGGCTTTTGAGGACCGCCTTCCGTCAGAGCAGGGGCCATCACTGCCACTGACGTTGCCAGTGCCGCGGCCTCCACATCCAGAGGCTCCCACGACGTGCCGCAACGTGCGCGCCCGCCGCTCCTGCACTCCCCGTGCGCCGCGCTCACTCCCATTCATCCATTACTACGGCTCTGTCCTGCCTCCTTTACCGCTCACTATTCGACTTAGAACTCTTTGTCCTCACTGTGTTTCTGTCTTACTCTAATAAACAGTTTATTATTGGCTTGCCATCCTCCATGGCTATATAATTAAGTCGTTTCCACAGTCTTTCCCATGTTATCCATCATCGATCTTCATTGTTATCACAACACGATATTGGTTTCCTGAAGAAAAAAATCAAAATATTTACACTGTGCTCAGTGTTTATCCATTTCTATTATTGCATATTTCGTTACTACAGCAAAAATTTCAAGAATAAAATCGAATTAATAATATTACTTTTTAACGCAAAATTAAGCTACAAATCTTCGATAAAGGAATCAAGAAAAATTTAATAGTGCTAAGCCCTTTAATCAACGCGCACTCAAACGAGGTTATCTATGTGTTACGCAAAATTACATAACATTTTTCAAGCTACATAGATAACTGTGACCGAGCAATGCTCAAGTATGAACTCGCAATAGACTTGATTCTAAAGTACCAGCATGAAATTGCTAAATACGAATGTTACTTACTTTGTTTTCACGTTTCAGGAATTGTAGCATACTTGACGTCTCGTTAGATGTATCCGAACGTATTTTTTTCCAACATAAATGAAAATCTTTCAGACACCTCTGTTGGAGGGATACTATTCGATTTTAGGATGATTGTTCTCCCAGATTATTTTTCCAAAATTGGACTTTGACACCGCAATAAATTTGCAGCAAACTTTTACTGCTCGCAGTTGACGACGGCGTGGTTGTTATTAAAATATTCCCGAGCGCATCGAGACTAGAGTTATCTGATGCATCACATTCTGCATACCGCTGTTCTGCAAGTGTGCCCTGAAAAAGAAAGAAGAAAAAGTAACACTCGGTTCAAACGTCTTGCGCGCATTCGCAAAAGACGCGCGCTTCTACAGCAGCGAAAGCTGCAAACTACGATCATTAGCTTAATTCCAGGAAAGCATTTCACGGTCGAGTACTCGTGCCTGAGTCGGACTAGTGCAGATCTGATTTATCTTAATCGCGAAGGTACCGGCAATTTTCGTTTGTCATATATATATTACATATATTTTTGGAATTAATTCCAAGTAAGTCCAATACTGCTTCGAAAAGTTGTATTTCACATTTACATAAATTTTTTTACGTGAGAACTATAAATATCCAAACTTGTGTAAATCTCTAGACGATGAATAATGCACAAAATAAATTTCGTAACTATATTTCCAAATTGTACAATTATCATATTTCTAATTCAGCAACATAACAAGCGTTTCAATGTTCAATTTGTAAACGTTGTTATCTTATCAGATGATTCTTATGATCTTGTATATATCACTAATCAGAAAATTGTATTTGATTTTATGTATGTTTCATGTTTGCAAAAAAACTTTCTTCTTCTCGTATTTATTGTATTATTTAGAATGTATATTAAAATAGTATTCTTTGTCACAGATTACTCGACATGACTGATTTTCTGCAATTACAAAGTATGCTCCGCTTTCTCCTTACAATTTCATATAACTTTTTTTTATATTTACGATGACTCTACCATGAACAGTATTGCTCAATAAACGTAATCGGATCGACGTAATCTCGTACTGCGAATACGCAAAATTTGCAAGGCTCGATTAAAAAATAAAATAAGATCGACACAATTATTAGAGAACAATTGAGAGCAGACGACACGGGTGTTCTTTGAAATACTCAATATATTTGTATCCAATATCTATAAATAATTCATAATAACTTGTAGTGTCACGAACAACAAAAATTTAATCAATATAATAGAAGCGTAAAATCCAATGCGTTTGAATAAATATTTTTCAAATTTCGAATCGCAAAAATCTGATCCAAAATTACGTTTCTTATCAATCAATTTCCTTCCTTATCCTCCTTCCCTCTCTTATCAAAATATTCCACTATCAATATAGAGCTGTAGTACGTACTTCAGCTTTTAACCTATTATCAGTCAAGCTAAATATTCTTTACTTTTCAATGCTTTAATAAAATTTTCTTTTTTTTATTAAGCTGGTCTGATAAAATTTCCAACAAATAATTTTATCCAAAAAAGCAATATAAATAAACAGTAATTTAAATACAAATTTGTCACAAATTCTATAAAGCAAACCGTTCATAGAAAGTGAAAAGTTAAAAGATGAATAGAAGCCTTGAAATAATTTTTAAGCAAACATAACGATATTGTCGAGGTCCATAAGACTGGATTAGTTTTTCAGATTTCATTAGATTTCCAACGAATTCAAATTACATATTGTTTGTATAATTAAAATCAAATATTGTTTCAACATTGGCTTTCGTTGAAATTTCCACCAGGAAATTAGAATATCTATGAACGAACTTCGTTTAGAAAGAAATGACAAATCATGCTCTAAATGGTAGGGAGAAAAATCGCAACACAAAGTGTGGCGTATGTAATCGCGCCGGAAGCAGGCCGATATTTCTTCGTGACGGGGCAATCATGCGTATTGTTGATCGAGACAGAGAGCAACAGAGAAACAAAGAGAGACGGCAGCTTTGGGGAAGAAAAGGGGGGGAGGGAAACCGCAACCGGGATGAGAATTGGGAGTGAATACACAGAAAAAAGGGTTCAGAGGGAGAGGAACGTCGCCGGCAGTGTCGGTTGGAAATACGGAAGAAAGTCGGAAAAACGGAAAGAGAGGGAGGCGCTGGAGCAAAAGGCGAGGGAAGTCGGCGAAAGGATGCGGGCGAGATGTGGAAGGAGAAGGGAGCCTAAGCAGAGCTGCTCTCCCGAGGGTGTGAATTTTCCTTCGCTCGTAGGGATACACGCTTTCCGGTCGGCGCAAGTGCGCACGGCGCGACCCGGCGCGACGTGTCGTAATTACCGCACCGCGCGGCGGACGATACAGACACACGTATACAACACTGTTACGCGATGCATTTGTAACACAAGTAAATTAAAGCAGCGGCACACGGTCTGACGCATTACCACGTGATACGCTCGCGGCGGACAACGGCGGCGAATACGTGCACAGGCGCGACGGAAGAACAGTTAACAAAAACAGAGTGCGAGACGAAGCCGCGAGAAAACGACGAGAGCCGCGCGCTTCCTCCTCGCCGTCGGCCGCACGCTGAGAGCGCGCGGCGTCTGTTGCATAATGCGCCGCACGGATTTCGTGTACCGATGTGATATATATATATATATATTGCACGCGGTTGTCCAATATATTGCAGTAAAACCGGCTCGATATATATTATTATTACTTTTCGCGCGAATACCAATAGCAGTTACGAGGGAGAAAGATGAAAATTCTCGCGGATGTAAAGCGACCGGCTCGATCTCTCCAGGGCGATACCACATGCATGAACGAGCGAGCGCCACGTAATTAGAGGAACAAATTCCTCTCATAACGGAAAGCACACAATGAACAGACTCCACGTCTACACAAAAACTCGTAAAACACAAGAAGCACAGCGGATCTCTCTCGTTTCGCGCCGCTGTGTGCGCTAAATACGCGGAATGAGCGGACGGACGTATTGCTCTATTAGGAATCGGCCACTATTCTCGCGCACCGTGTACTCGCCGCACTCCTGCACTCCGTTCAGCGACAGCGATGAGTATCGAGCGCGATATCGCTGCATCAAAGAGCACTCGCGGAGCCGCATATACACGCACATACAAAGGCGGACACGCAGGCAGCACGCACGGCTGCGGCACGGGAACCGCGATGATGACGATACCTTCGTCGCGGAGACGCTACATAGGAACACGCCCGCCGATTGTACGCGAGGAAAAACGAGCGGTTTTGCTTCGCCGTGCCGCCACCACGACGGTCGGCCGTTCGGTCTTTTGCGACGTACAATGGCGGAGCAAAAAACAGGCCTCGAAGGTAGTAGCTTCCCTCGGATTTACGGGTACAACGCACACTCTCCTTCCTTTCTTGCTCGCTCGCGCAGTCTCCGTCTCTCTTTCTCTCTCTACACTACGCTCGCGCTCTCTCACTCGTACGCTTCCTCCCTATCTCTATCTCACTCGCTCTCACCTCTCGTGGCCGGGCTCGGCATGCTCTCGTGGGATAGCGCCGCAGGCTCTCGCGGGGAACGCTGCTTGGGCTCGCCCTTCAAAGTCCTCGTGCACAATACCACCCGCACGATTCGCTGCTTCGAAATCGCACACACCGGACCGCACCACGTCCGTCACACCCAACGTACGATAATACCGTCGTCCGCGCTCGGCTGCTCTCGTCCACCGTCGATCTCCGTTTGCGAGGCGACGCGCGCGCGTTCTCTCTCTCTCTCTTCCTCTCTCCCTCGCTCGATCCGTCTATCTTTTTCTTTCTCCTTCTCTCTCTTCTCACGTAACTGTCGTCACGGTACGTCGTACGTGCAGTTGGTCGCCCACGGCGGACACCACACTTCTTTCTTTTCAAGCACGCTTGGACGCTGCACAGGAAAACGCCTATCACGCGAGGAGGCAACACCGATCCGCGTACGATCGCACAATCCGTCGGCTGTTCTCGCCGCCTAGGAAAGTCACACGGGCAACGACGCGAGCTATTTATCAATAATATATATAGGAAATTCGACCAACTTCGCTGCTGCTGATGCCGTCGCGCGCGATCGACCAATACTGCGGCACTCGCAACCGGATGTGGCCTTCGTGGCCACGCTGTCCAATCGGATTCGTTCGCTGCGCTGCAACGTCGAAGCTAAAGTCCAAATCGCAAGCCCGCCGCGTCGCTGCGACGGCGTAAATGCGCGCCATTGTGAAGCGCATGCGTAACAGCGCACAATTGGCTAGCACTGCGCGCGCTTTACATGGGCGCCAAATACAAATGACATTTGCTTTCGCTATCGTTATTTTATCATGCTCTATTGCGCTTGTACTTTTTTATAATTTGTATTTTAAAAATTTATGTATTTTATCCTAAACAGAATGCATAATTCAATTTTATAATATCTTTATTCGTGAAATATACTAATGCTTCTTCTAAAATAACGATTAATTTGCTCAATTAATTAAAAAACTTTTTAAACACTGATAAAAATTGTTAAATTTTAGTTTGAAAAATATATTATAATTTGATAATTACGTAAAATTACACTTCATTGCTTATAATTAAAATAAAAATTTTTGCATGAAGATTTGAAATAGCGTGTACTTACATTGATTCGCGCGTGTAGAGCTGAGAAATAAATGAATAGATTTGTAAATCAATTTTATGAATATTTTCTCGCAAATATCCACCGCATTTTTATTATTTTGCAAATTTTTTTGTCCGCAGTAGAATTTTATCTACTTATAGATATGAAAGCTAATAAAAATGACGATAATTACTTGCAAGAAAAGCGAAAAGTATGGAAAGTGTAGTGAGAAAGTGTAGTTAGAAACAATAAATGTACGTTACCATAGAGAGTAGCGCGCGAAGATAGCCACACGATTTTCGGTTTTTCGCAGCCATGACAGCGGAGTTCATTATCATCGTAACAATCGTAGCTCCGTACTTTTTCGTATTGTTTCTTCATCAAAACAAAACACGCATCAGAAATGTCGTAAAAAGTATCGCGTGATCGTCATAATGCGATAAACCGTGTGACAGGAGTGCCGTGCAAAAGTATCGCGTGTTCGTCATGTTGAAATAAAATACGCATTGGAAATGCCGTGCAAACTATCGTGCATTTGTCATAATGTAACCGCAACGGTCGTGCCGTGCAAAGTTTCGCGCGATAGTCAGGACGTGATAAAATACACGCCGCAAGAGCCTTGCAAATGTCGTACGCTGTATTAACCGGTCGTGTGATTTTCGCGAGTGATTATTGTGTTATAGTGATGTTATTGTGGTATAGTGTTATAAGTGCCATGAAGAAGCGGTCTCAGAAAAAAAAGAGAAGAGGAGATTCGAGAAGTAACCATATATTATAATGGCGGAACAATCATAGGTATTTTGTAATAAAATATGCATTGGTAATGCCGTGCAAACTGTCGTGCATTTGTCACAATGTAACCATTCACGCGACGGTCGTGCCGTGCAAAGTTTCGCGCGATCGTCAAAACGTGATAAAATACGCGTCGCAAGAGCCTTGCAAATGTCGTGAGTCGCGCGCTGTATTAACCGGTCGTGTGATTTTCGCGAGTGATCATTGTGTTATAGTGTATAGTGTTATTGTGCTATAGTGTTATAAGTGCCATGAAGAAGCAGTCTTAGGAAAAAGAGAAAAGAGGAGATTTGAGGAGCAACCACATATTATATTGGCGGAATAATCATGGGTATTTTTTCATTTATTTATTTTTAATTATTTATTATAGGTTATTTTAAAATCTTTATCATAATTTAAATACATTTTTGTTTTAGGAATCAAGGTTTGTAATACTCCATCGCATCGTGTACTGGTGAGTCTTAAATTATCTCTATTTTTTTATTTTACTCTGTGAATTTCCTACAATAAACGAAAATGTGACTGCTCTCATGAAATGTAACTGCTCTCATGAAATGTAACTGCTCTCATGCTTTACTCAAATGTTAAAATAGGCACGTAGACATTTTCTTGATTACCGACTAAGGATTATTGAATCTGATGATAATTCTAAAGTATCGACATTATCGACAGAGCTTTATTCATTTACCTATTGGTACGGAGAAACATTTTGTGTTATCAATAGTATATAAAAGATGGCAGAACAAATCAAATTGAACAAAAAAGAACAGAAGTACGTATAATATAACGGATATTAGATGATTAAAGATATGTTAATCTTTTTGATTTTTATTTTATCAATGAAATTATCAAATATATACAGAATAAGCACTGAAAAGGTGTTTAAAGTAATTTGCTATTACTTTGCCACGAATAGGCAGAACAAAATAAATTACACGTTACACACACATACTTCAGACATTTTGTATAAAGAGAAGCACTCAATTATATTGTAGTATGAAAGAAATATACAGTAATTAAAATTATAAAATTAAATTACATTATAAAAAGGTGTTTCAAACCTGTCTAGGCGCTCAGTGATAAATATTTTTAAAGTGTTGCTTAACGGAATCGGCAGAAACTCAACCGTTTTCGAAAATTGTTAAATACACTTTTTAATATGATTGGGGAAATGCTCTGAATGCATTTGTAAATACTCTCTTTCAGCTTACAATTAGCAGTGTTTTCCGATGGACAACACTTCGCGAATGAATTTATTTATCACTGAGCGTCCAGACAAATTTGTAGCATTTTTTTAATAATGTTTACTTTAATGATTTAATTATTATACACTTTTTTTGTACTATATATAATAAAATTGATGGGTTTTTTTTACAAAACGCGACATTTAATTCATTTTGTTCTGTACACACATTCGTTGCAAAGTGATAGCAATTTATTTTAAATACTATTCCAATGGTTATCCTTTAAATCACGAAGAAAAATGTGTGATAACTGAAATCATAAGTTTTGATTATATAATTCTGCATTTTTATGTGTATATTATCAATCTTAAAAGTTTTCTTATTGCTTATATTTGAAACATAATCTACTAATTGGTAAAATTTAATTTATATTGTTAGTAAACTTTCCTTGTTATTGCGAGATTTAGTTATTACAATAATAGCTTTCTATGAGATATTTGGAGCAATTAAATTTGAATTCGGTGAAAAAACATAATCTTTAAAGACATTTTGTCATGCAACTCTAGCAACACTTCTAAAGTACAATTTACATGAATACACACATTTCCTGCAATTAATCAGCGCGTTGAAAAATTAATTAACATTACTTTCTGCGAGCGCGTAAACGCAGATGCAGACGCTGTTTTTACGAAGGTATCGATTAATCGATGCCGTCGCGCGAATGATACCGACGTTTGTGAAATTTCGGAATACGAACCTGAAAAACGCGCAGGAATAAGCAAGAATGGTAGAGAGAGACGTAGACGCGGATAAATTGAGAGGGTGGAGCGGGAGGGAGGGCGAGAACGCGAGAGGGAGATATGGAAGCTAGCGTGAATATTTTTACCCAAGCCTGTTAACTACACTCTGTTATTTTATCTCACGTACGCGGCTTTCCTACTACCACTGTCGCGCCAGCGCTGGAATATAAGTTTTAAGGCGTGTTTTGATAGCGTCAGGGCGTGTCAGCCGGGGCTTCCTACCTAATGGATCGCTTCTTCGCTCGTTCGTTCATACTTTTTGAAGAGTGCATAGCTCATGATACCGCGAAACTTTCCCCCGATGCACCTTACATTCGCGAAATTTCACGGTTTCTTTCCTCCATCAAAAATTTTTATACGAGGAGCTGTCAATGTGCCAGAATGCTGTATTCTAGTTAGGTAAAACGAGTTCAAAACAACTAAAAAAATAAAAATATGTACATTAGTATTATTTTGTAATCTCTCTGCAAACATTATTATGCGTTATATTTTATGAGAATTTTATGTTCACCAAATGTTACTTTTCAGTAACTCACAAACCGATAGATCTTATTTATATTGATATTTTCTTTTTTTTGTGCATAATATATTATAATTAATTATTTATTTTATCAGCGAATCAACCAAATAAAGAAAAACACTAATAGCTAAATGAAATTAATGATGAGTTTACAATCATTAATCTAAAATAAAGTGACAAAATTGAATGTGTGTTTTTTGATATTTGATGTTCGTTAGATATTTATTTAAATAATTCATTTTTATATAATTTTTATATAATTAAAAATAGTAATTATATTTAACTTATTATTTTAAAAAATGTTTACGAAAGGAATAATTAAATCTTTTGAAAATAGTGAGATTTATTGTTTGTGTATTTATTACGTTCTGCTTTGCATTATTATAGATAAAAAATTTTTCCAAAGGTATTTTATACGAAATACATATTCAATTTTATGGATTGAAAAAAATTGGATATATCTGTGATAAACATTTTTCTAAAGATACCAAAATTAAGCATTAATTTACATATTAATTTGCACATGCTCTTTACAATATTGTATTGCATCGTCGATCTCGAGCAATCAGTAGTGCATATAAGCTTATTTCATATACAATATATTGCGTATAATAATGGTGACACCTATAGACGAGATCGGGTTTCATCTGCGAAGCGGAAAAACCGCTTTGCGACCGATTATCGCGATAATTTCTCGTGTCGAAAGGATGAATGGAAATGGCCGGGCGCGGAGTGCGGATGAATGAACCGACGTATACGCGAAACGCGGCGTATACGAACCGCAGCGGCGTTGTTTTGGTTATTTTGGCAAACCTAACATAACACAGCTTGTTGTTTAACAAAATAATTGATTTTGTCGCCTCGTCTCCGTGCTGCTTTACCGTCGTTCTCTCCCCCTCCTCCTTCGGAGCCGTCGTCACCGTCGTACTTCCTCTTTTTCTCATTCTCCGCGTCTGCTAGTTTCCGTAGCGCTGTATTCTTCTACTTCTCTTTTCCATCGATTCTCCTTGTTCTTCTCATTTAAGACACGCGCGGCGGATAGTAGCCGCTACTTAGCCGCCGTATGAAAACAAATTGTTCGATTCCGTTTGTTTGCCGTCGCACGATGAAGACCTCGTGTGGATTAGTCCCCGCGAACAAGGCTCGTCTTGGCGCCGGCGTCGACGTCAGCATCGGTATCAACTCGTCTTATT